ACCTTGGAGAAGACTCAAGAAGGGCTTTGATTCATTTGAGTTGAGAGGGATTGACAAAAAAGGAAGCAAACTGATTAAGATTAACTGAAATGAGACACTAATTTTGGTTGAAACTATAAATGATATGCTTCTATTCGTATGGAGCAGATCATTTGATTAGAGTGCGTAGAACGGGCTTAATTAAAATTAAACACATGATCTCTCTAATCACACCCCTTCTGCAATGGTACTTGTGTTCTTAGGTTCCAAAACTTAATTAAGACTCTTCATCCTCAAGGTCTTGAGCTCAAAATTTTGGAAGAAATTAAAAAAATGTATCTCTTTTCCATGACACATCATTCAAGTGCACCAAAACAAAGTGATTTAGAAATTTTTTCTAAAAAAAAAAAATTTGCAACTTGAAATGCCCCAAACACAAAAAAACAAGTAATGGAAAAAAAAAACAACCCTGAAAAAAAGGAACAACCCCTCAACCAAAAAATAAGGGTTTAAAAATTGAAATTTTTTTTTCTAAAAGTTTGGCTGCTTAATTTTTTATCAGAAAGCTAAAAGTTTGATTTTTTTTATAAAAAAAAATGAAAGGCCAAAAGGGGTTTTGGTCAAACTAACATATATATCAAGATCAATTCCTTCTTGAGAAGAATGCATCCTCCACATTAATATGGTGTACAAAAAAATTAAATTTTCTTAAGGGATGACTCTAAAACTTAGATTCTAAATTTAATTTATAAAACAATATAAATAGATTTGATTTTTGGTCTTATTATACTATTTATAGAAGTGATGTTTTGAATAGAATTTTTCCAAATGTACTATCTTATAAAGTAAAAAATTCTTTAAAAAAAAAAGAAGATAAAAATTATCAAATTCAAAACTTAGAAGGCATTTCACGTGCCCTGATTCAGTGGCCATTTGCTGTTCTAAAAAGTAGCCTGTGGTTTGCACTCTTAAGTTTCGAGTTCAATACTCCCCACTAATACCTTTAACGTACTAACCTCTTACCATTGCCCTTATCAAAAAAAAAAAAAATTAAAACTTAGAAGATTATAATAACAAAAGCTAGCTAGCTCTTCCAAAGAAGTAACAAATTATTTATAATTTTAGCTTCTGGGCATTTAGATGCTGAATTAAAAACCTGAGAAGCACTTTTCAAAAAAAAAAAAAATTTGTTTTTACTTGTTTCAACCTTACACTAGATAAAACATTTGCAGAAAATTATTCCCAATAGTTTTTCAAAGGATCTAATAACTAATCATGAAATTTTACCTACGCAATGATTTTGTTTTGTGGGGTAGTTTTGCATACAATAATAACATGCTAAAACTTTCATAAGCGCCTCAAATTTAGGCTTTTCCTTTGCATATAGCACTTTAATTATTGCATCATCATTAGTGTTTTTTTGATTGGTTCATTCATCATTAGTGTTAATTAATCTACAAATTTCCTTCTAATTTACATATAAACTAATTTAATTTCCCTTCTTTATTTACAACTGCAGCAAAATTTCATTAACCCACAAATGATTCCCATATTTTTATTTTCTTCTCCCATCTTATTATCATAATTTAAATAACCCTAAAGTTAAAATCACAATTTGTCTCCATTTTTATTGCATGCATGCAAGCATTTTAATGCATAATAGCTGTTTTCTTCCACTTTCAACTTCAATTTTGACTTAGCTTAATATCTTAAACCCTAAACAATCAAACATATTAAAGATATATTATTTATCAAAAAAACCCTTTTAATGATTTTGTATAAATACCCCAAATCTCTAGTCAACTTTCCTACTTCATTAATGTGCATCATTAACCATAATCACATATTAATTCATCATCTTATTCTCTCCATTTAATTACTCAAGGTGATGAAGTTTTCAATTCTCTACATTTTGGTCCTCTTTGTTTCATTATCAAATCCATCTTCTGCATCAGATACAACCTTCAATGTGTTGAGCTTTGGGGCCATTGGCAATGGCGTGACAAACTCAACTCAAGCCTTCCTTGATGCATGGAGCGCAGCATGTGGCTCGGCCAGCTCGACACTAATATATGTGCCTAAAGGGAGGTATTTGCTTGGTTCTATGATCCTCAATGGCGGCTGCAAGAGCCCGGGAATCACCATTATGATAGACGGGACGCTGGTGGCGCCGGTGGACTATCATGCACTGGGTTCATATTGGCTTAGCTTTCTAGGGGTCAGCGGTGTTTCCATCATTGGTGGCGCACTTGACGCTAAGGGGTCGGCATTGTGGGCTTGCAAGGCTCCTGCTTCCATGGAAAGCCACAACCCTTGCCCAGATGGTGCCACGGTAAGACTCTATTTGATTTAACTGAATTCCTGTAATAATATATAAACACCATATTACGATAAAGAAAATTACAAAAATTGTAACCAAAATTCAAAAAACTTTCTAAAACAATAATTAAAATTTATATACTCCCTCCACTTTTATTTAATTGTCTCACTATTTTGAAAATTTACATGTTTTATGTTGAATATGGTGCAGAGCCTCAGTTTTACAAATTCCAATAATATTACAATCAAAGGTTTGATGTCTCTCAATAGTCAACTGTACCACATCGTGATCAATAGCTGCCAAAACGTGGCGGTGGAAGGGGTTACAACAATTGCCGCCGGCGATAGCCCCAACACTGACGGTATCCATGTTCAGCTGTCCAGCTACGTGCAGATCACCAACTGCATCATCAAGACAGGAGATGATTGCATCTCCATTGGCCCCGGCACCGAGAACTTGTGGATTGAACATGTCATCTGCGGTCCTGGTCACGGCATTAGGTAAAAATTTGACTAAGTTGATACTTACCAATTTTTAAAGACATTAATTTGAGTTAAAGTTTCATATATCCATAATAATTATCTCACTTTGTTGGGTGTAATTTGCAGCATAGGAAGTTTGGGTAAGGATTTGAAAGAGAGAGGGGTGAAAAATGTAACAGCAAAGCAAACAATTTTTGTGGGCTCCCAAAATGGGCTGAGGATCAAATCATGGGCCAGGCCCAGTAGCGGATTTGTTCAAGGCATTCGTTTCTTAGGAGCCATAATGAAAGATGTCCAAAACCCCATCCTCATTGACCAAAATTACTGCCCTCACAACATAAGTTGCCCCGAACAGGTAACATATAACCTTTTTCTTTTTCTTTTTTCTTTTTTTCCCGTATATTTAAATTTAAAATTGTGTTTTATAGTTCAAACAACAATAGATTACAAAATACTAACGATCAAATCAACTGACCCCTAATATTGCTAAAGAAAACTATCTAATTTGATAGTTTATGTTTTACGATTTAAATTATTTCAACTGTTAAAAGACTTTTACGTAATAGACGATATAAATGATTTTAAGATACTGAAACTGAATTATTATTGATTTTGTTATGCGATCTGATAGGCATCTGGAGTAAGGATCAGTGATGTGTTATATCAAGGAATTCGAGGAACATCTGCAACACCAGTAGCCATAAAATTTGATTGCAGTGTCAAGAATCCATGCATGGGGATAAGATTGCAGAACGTTGATTTGGCATACTTGCAAACTGAAATGACTCAATCGTTTTGTGCCAATGCGGTTGGAAAGGTTTTGGGTTTGATTAGACCAAATAGCTGCCTCTAATTATAGACCAAAATGTTGACATGTACGGAAACATGCTTGTAAATGGGAAAGCTAATCATTCTACAACAGAATGTAGAACATAATTTTGGACCAGTTCCTCAGGGTGCTATTCTCTCCTTGTCCTCCTCGATTAAATCAAGGCCTGCAAGCAACTCTTCTAGCAGGATGGAAGGCAAAACCTCCAATTCCAAAGTAGTCATGGAATAAAGTTTGGCTGTGAAAAAAATGAAAGAAAGGCTTCGTCAACCAGTCTAACTTATTAGTTAAATCACCCAACTTCCAAATGCAAAATTTCAAAAATTCCCTAATTGGGCTTTAATACAAGTTCCCGGTGACTCAGAATAGCTGTAATACACAAAACAATGCATAACATAACACCGACATGTTTCTTCAACCTTAGTGATATCGACTTCAGACTGCAGACACACTACACACTTGACCCATGGTTTGAGAAACCATAAACACACATGTTTCAGCCATAGTTAGTGCCCTATTCGACCTAAGAATTACATGAACAATAAAAAAATTTGCAAGAAAAATAGAGGGAAAAGAAGCTACCTTTCTTCAGTTTTTTCAGGCAACCCACACTGATTTTTTGTCAAACAGAGAGAGAGAGAGAGAAATGGGGATGAAATGAGAACATGGCTTCAACTCACCACTTCATTGACAAAAATTTGATCCTTTGCAAGTCAGAGGAGGTAAACCACTTACCAATGAACCAACAAGGCAACAACCCTTTCATTAACATTGATATCCGTGAGACTGAAGTTATCTAAATATGTGCTGTACCAAAATAACTCTCACTAGACTAGAACTGTAGTTTAAACTAGTTAGGTTAGCAAAATCCTTCCATGGCTTTCTCAAGGATTTGGAATCAGAGAAGGGTCAACGTTGTGTATTTCAAACATCAAAGGGAGAGGAAAACATTCACCAAAACTATATATATATAAAACAAGCACCATTTGTACTAACATCAACTGACTGAAGGGGAAAAGAGGATGGCAAGCATTCATATACAGAGAGACCACCTGATTTTGAGTAAAATAGCAGCAGAACAAACATCAGTTGATGATGCATACAACAATTGACTTTAATAAAATGTTCAAAGGACCTAGACTCTCACCACTTAAAGAAATTATAAAGAATGAAAGAACAAAGTCATTGAATTCCATTTTTTTATGATAAAAAAGTCATTGATTGCTGATTACAATTTAATACTCATTACATCGATATCAAATGACATGCCGTTATAGATAAGTTAATTGTACTCTATACTTTGCATAGAAAATTAGCACGATAACTTTCTTCACTGCAAAATTATGTGCAAATGAAATGATTACAACAAGAAATCAGAATGGACTATTACCTCATCAAGATGTTACCCGCAAAACAAAATGATGATAAATTTTTCCAGCCGAAGAAAGAGGTAGAAACCATTAGTATTTGTAATCTAAACCAGAAAAGAACCTCTTCAGTTCAGTTGTTCCAAGCCTCCAACTCATCATCCACCCTCATGAGGCTCCAATGATTTTCAATTATAGAGTAAATCTCAAGTTAATTCTCCAAAGTCCAATCAAATCAATCATCTATCTTTCCTGGTCTGGGATTTCTACTTTGATTGACACTGCCATTGTACATATCCAATAAACCTGGAACCTTGTCCAGATACCTGGTAACATATCGCTGCAAGAATAGCTTTTCACTTGTTGTTAGCAACCATAAAATCTTTGTGTCCCCTCTAATCAACTTTTTGGACAGCAAAACCTTAAGGACCTCATACCTTGGTCGGAGCCTCTTATCAACTGAAAAAGAAAGAATTTTTGGGTAGCTAACTATAATCTTTGGTTCTACTTTCACAGTATTCAGAAGAAAATCCATTTGACTCCTTACCTTCTCCTCCGAATAAGCAATAAAATTGGGTTGTTTCCTAAAAGTTCTAAAGATATCATCTTCACTCCATCCGAAACTCTTAAACAACTTGATTTTCTTCTTCCTAGTTGCATCACTCATTGAACTCAGAACACGAAAGCCATCAATGAAGTTTGAAGACTTGGGTAGAAGACCCATTTCTTCTTTAACAGTTCTAGCCAGATAAACAATCCTTTCAGGACGATGCAACAGAGCCATCGGCTGTACAACCAGCAATTTCGATATTCCATCAGGGGAAACACCCTGATCTATAAGAAACTGAATGTTTGGCTGCAAGAATCCATTAAGATCATAACTCAATAACCGTGACGCTCGGTGAAGAGCAATCACAATGGCATCATGGGTTTTAAGATATTGCCTTAAAAATTTCATCATGGGCTTCAAGTAGAAATCCAAGCTTTTGGATAAAACAGTTGGATTCGTCACAATGAGCTTTGCTAAATGCTTACCCGTTAATCCGCTTTCAACGAGAAATTCCAGTTTGGGCTTTAGAGTTCTCCGTATATTGCATTGCAGAATTGTGGAGCGCTTCTCAGCTAACTTGACGATTTGGGTGTCGTTGAATCCGTAAGATTTCAAACAATTGATTACCAATGCTTGCTTCCGAGCTTTCTTTTCGTCGGATTGGGATTTTAGGGAGATTGCAACTGCCGATTCAAAGGAAAGCCCACATGATTTCATGAGGTACTCAACTGAAGATGGTGGTAATGGTGGTTGCGGAGAGAGTGCCGCCGATGTCGCGATAAGACGTTTCTGCACCAGAGAGAGCAGGTTCCTCAGAGGGATTACAGCCATCATCGAAGCAATAGAAGAGAAAATGCCTACGCAGTGAGGAAATACAAATACAAATACAAATACAAATAATATTATTAGGGTTTGGAAGAGACAAAAACCATAAGTTGCCCCCAAAAATGAACCATCCACGGTTTTTCAGGCAAAACCTCACAAATTACCTTAGAGTGTTTGTAACTTTACCCTCTCACCTTATAATATATGATTTTATATTTTTTTGATATAATTTTATATTTTTTTGGTATTTAAGTGTGTAAAATTTTATCTTTTACCTTACAACTTTAAAAAGATATAACATCATAAATTTAAATATTATGAGGGTATAAAATTATAAACTTAAATATTAAAAAAATATAAAATCACATATTGTAAGACGAGAGATAAAATTTCAAACACTCAAAACATTGAAGAGCAATATGTAGGTTTTTGCCTGGTTTTTCATGAACTTTCTCATCATAGACTTTTTTTTTATTAAAAAAATTGGGAACTAAAACTATTAAATTATTTTTCATAGAATTACTTTTTATACTTATTTATTAATAATATTTTGATAATTTTGATATCTAAATTATAAAAAAAAGGGTATAATTTATACTGAAAAGTACATTTCTCTATCATAAATCTCATTTTAACAAAATGTTTTACAAAAATAAAAGTGCACCTCAATCTCATTAAAATTATTAAAATTTCAGTAAAAAAATTCTTAATAATATTTTAATAATTTCGATATCTAAAATATATTATTATTATATAATCTACCTTATATATATATATTATCTTAGTAGAGTAGATATTCAATTTAATTAGACAAATAAAAATATTTGAATTATATAACAGTGGTTGAATATCCGCTCTCTAAGCCATTATAGATCCATTTCTTTTACCAACACCAAAATGTTGAATTATGAATACATACTCCTATAAAATAGTTATGAAAATTTTAAAAATTGATACTAAAAATTAGAGTTTAACTTTAACCAGCAAAAATCTACTGCTGAAAAATATCATGTTTGAATTTTTAGTTTCTACTCCTTTTTAAGATGAAAATAATTAGTCCTAACTTTAACTTTAACTTTAACTTTTGTAATAGAAAATTTTTTTCTAAAATTGAACTAAACAGATAGTTGGAAAAATGGAATTCTCTAACCATTTACGTGATTACTTTTTTTTGCTCTCAATTAGCCCCGTAATTAGCTAACAAACCGATGCCTGGGCAGCAACATATCCATTGCTAACAAAACAAATTTCAAACAATCCTACCGAGGCAATCTTTGAGTGGAAGGAAGCTTGAACTAACTAGTACCTGTTGCAAGGTTGGCTATGGATACCTATACCATTGCACCAAGTGTGACATTCAGTAGGTTACCCGGCGGGCTTCATTAATGCCCAGTCCTCTCAAATGAGTATCACAATCAACACTTCACTAATTCATTTTGAGGAGTTGTACATGGCTCCTGGCTTCTAGTGCTAAGACTCCGTTGCACCCACCTTGTACATATCCATGTACCGATGTGTGCCCTGCAATTTCAATACTCATTCTTACACTGCCTTGTTACCAAATACCATTAAACTTAACCATAGATGCTAAACGTTTTGTAGAAAATAACAAATATATGTCATTGAATATGAATCAACATTTTCGTGACAAGAAAAGCTAATCATTTTGTGACACACACACATAATTAAAATAAAAGAAAGAAAGAAAGAAAGAGTAAACAAAAATTTTCTATGAAATCAATCCCTCATGCCATTCTCCTCATCTTCCTCATCACTCATATCAAGGTCTGCAAGCAGCTCTTCCAGTGGAACAGAAGGCAAATCCTCCCCAGTAGTCACGGAAGCAATCTCTGATGGCTCATATTCTCTATTGCGGTACAATGATATGTTGAACCGCAACTCAGGGTTCTCTTCCAGGTCTCTCAAGAACTCCTCATACTCTGAAGCAATCTTATCTTTGTCAGATCTGCCTTTGGATTCGTCAACTTCCATGTCAAGAGACTTGAGCTTCCATTGACGAGCCTTGCCACGCTTCTTCTCACGCTTTTCCCCATAGCTCTTCTTTACCAAGATTGCCTCCGGAAGGGTCAGACCTCTGTACTTGTCCAATTCCATGTCATTACTGTTTGCCCCATAGGTGTCATAACCGAGAGCATAATCACCGGGATTCAAGAGATGACCTAGATGTGTTCTTACATAGAAAATGTTATCATTCCTCCCAAAGTCAGATTTTCGAGCAACCTGGACATCAGCCAACTTGTATTTGGATCCACCAAAATCAACTTCATTAGAAACAGGTTCCACATCCAACACAATGTATTCCACAAACTGCCTGCTAGTGAATAGAGACTTGAAAGGCACCCTCCAATACTGGTCGGCACTCAAGAAACAGTGTCTCAGAGTAAAAGGATCCAGTAAAGCAATTCTGTCTGTCACCTTTGTGCAGATAACAATAGGACCAAGATTTCCCAGACTTGCTGCTACTTTTGGAGGCAAGCAGATCAAATCCTCACGGCAAATGGGGCAGATTTCAGCAGAGAATGTGTACTTGTAATTGTAATTGTTGCTCTTAGGATCATGAGAAACAAGCTGTTTATCATGGCGATTCCTCAGTGGAGAGACTTTACCCACAAAATCCACAAACCTCATGGCATGGCTTCGATTTGCAAAGAAGAAATCTATACCTTCATCCACTTGCTTGATTTTAATGGCCTGGGAAGCTGCACCATGCTTCAAAATCAACTGTTCCAGATAAAAGAAAGTCCTTCTGTGGGACACATGCTGCCGGAGCTGCACGGCAGCAACCCATTGATCAGGGTTGGCCTGAATTCTTGTACAACTTTCACACATATGATCTTGCTGAACATACTCAACAATATAAGATTGTTCAAGAATTGCACCATGAAGCACCTCCTTCTGGACAGTCAGCTTGACCTTGATCCTCTTAGAATGGGGTTCAGTCCAAACAAAGGATGCATCGACCAGCCTAACTTTTTTTGTCAAATCACCTAATTTCCCAATGCAAAATTTCAACAGTTCCTTGGATTCTAACTGGGCTTTAATCCAAGTTCTTGGTGGCTCAAAGTAGCTATCACACTCAGGACAATGCATAATAATGACATGCTTCTTTAAACCTTCAGTAATATCAACTTCAGACCGCAAACATGTCACACACATATTGGCACCGTTGGGAACAATAGGAACACCACATTTGCAACACAAAATATGACCAATGGTTTGAGGAACCGTAAACATAGACGAGTCAGCCATGGCTAGGTATTCCTATTCCTAATATGACAAAAGAGGATGAATCCCAGTAAGTTTTCCAATTGATAACAGCAGAATCCGAGGATCAACAAAAGAAAAAAATAAGCTGTTCTTTTAATTCTTCCCCTATTTATAACTTAATAAATCAATAACAAGACTTCTAAGCTACAATGAACAAAAAAAAAGGAAAATAAGAAATCGAAATAATTGCTGAATACATATTGGAACTGGGATCAATGACACAGAAACACACACACACACACACACACACAAGCAGAACTTCGGAATTTATCAATATTAAAGAAAAAAAAAAAAGAAAAAAAAAAAAGATTACAAATTTATTACAATCAAACCAAAACAACAAAATCCTCCATCATCGAATTAAAGAGAAGATACCCAGATATAATTCAGAATCAAAATGAATGATTTTATAGAAAAATTCAACAAATTGCATGAAAGGTAGAAGAAAGACGATACCTTTCTTCAGTGTTTTCAACGTCGGCGACACACCGGCGGACGAGAAGAGAAAGGGAGACCGAAGATGAAATGGGTACGAGCGATTTCCGTGGAAAGAAAAAACCCTGACTCCGAAAGGTCGGTTTCTGACGGGAGGCGGCGGGGGGTGGCTGCTGGTGGTGGATTTAATTAGGTTTGGGCCTACCCGCTCATGGGCCTTCTAAGCCCAGACTAAAAAAATCAAACTGGAATCCGATTGCAGACCAAAACAGCGAAACCCCACTTCGCCGGCGACCAACCGAGGCAAGCTGCTGAGATTCCCTATATTTGGGGTCTTCGCATTGCAGTCGGAAAATTTTGGGGCATAGCCGGGCGGATGCTTTCGGGGTTTTCTAGGTGCTGCTTCTGCAGTGTTGCCGCAGAACGGCCATGGCTTTTTGTGGGTTTGGGCAACCCTGGCGATAAGTACAAAGGAACCAGACACAATGTACAATACACCAGCACGCATTGCTTCTTTTGACTCTTTTTTAACATGATTATTCCGTTTTATATTTGGTTGATGCAGGTGGGGTTCGAGATGATTGATGCATTTACTGAGCCCCAAGGGATTGAGATGAACACAGTTCACTGCAAGGCTCTATTTGAGCAGGGTCTGTGAATATGAATTTCCTGCATTCAACCTTTCGTAGTTGTTTGTCTGTGTAAGTCAAAACTTACAGATGCTTGTGACCCATCTTAGATTTTGTTGATGATGCCCCTGTTATTCTCGGAAAGCCTCAAACTTACATGAATTTGAGTGGAGAATCTGTAAGTGACTGAGACATACTTTTTCTCGTGAAAATTATTTGTTTTAACTTTCAACATTGCTGAATTAGAATACATACACATATGTTTATATGCATGTACCTGTACTAGTCTTGTGTGTGTGATTGGGGAATTGATTTAGTTTTGTCAAAGCAATGCGATAAACTTGCTTGCAACTGTTTTGATGATTCTATGCCTTTAACATGCTTGAAATTTTGAGATAACAACGTGGCTATAACATGTATATCTTTCTATCTAAATGCAGATTGGACCACTTGCTGCTTATTATAAACTACCTCTTAATTGTGTGATTGTGGTAATGTTTCTTTTGCATGGCTTTTATGTCTCTATAAGGTTTTGGTCATTCATAATCTTTTGATTTGACAGAAAAGAGATTTCTTAACATTTTTCTGTTTTTCTTGTTAATTGTTTCTCTCATTTAGTTTCATGATGACATGACTTTACCGTGTGGAGTGATGCGTCTTCAAGACAAACGAGGTCATGGAAGTCACAATGGATATGAATGGAGAAATTTAGCTGCTTGATACTAAGAGAATATTGGACATACATAGGATTTTTTTTAATTATTGGCATCCTATGCTCTGGCAGAGGAAAGTTCTATGCTAATGCTCTGTGTATGCAAGATATGAGCTGATTATCAGCATATAAGACTTGTTTCTCAGTCTGCAATAACTCTCTTATTTCAGAAATGCCTTGGTTGATGTGATATTTTTATTATTTATTTACCAGGCTGAAGAGTGTGATATATCATTTTTGAGGAAACAGAGAGTTTCCTAGGCTGAGAATTGGTTTGTATCGAATCCCCTGCTTGCATTGTTTGATTTGTATCAGCTCATTTTTTCTTCTTCTGGAAGGTGAACTATTTATTATTATGAATTATTACTTTGTCAGGTATCGCAAGCGCAAGGCCACCAGGTCAAATGGATCCTAAAGCATTCTTGCTGCAGAAGTTCAATGCAACAGCTCAAGAACGATTAAGATCTAGTGCTACTTGATCACATTAGAAAACTCCTTCACAAGCAAGTTCCTCCATTATAACTGAAACAAATAATTTCATCAGAAGATCTACTGGATCACATGCTGATAGTGCAGTACCTCTTTATCCCCAGAATTTGAAAATAGATTTGTTTTCTTCAAATAATCACAAGGATAATTGATAAAGAGTTCATGAGAGTCACTTTGTCAATATGAAATAAAATTATATGTTCCTTATTTGCATGTAGATTATCCTTCAATCAAATATAATGGTATAGTGTGTATGTGATTGGAGGAACAACAAAGGAGACAAAGTATGAGCGGGACTAGCTTGTAGGCTGTCAATATATTTTGTTTGGATTTGTACGTTTCATTAATTATGTATAGTTTTATCTTTAGATCACAATCTTCACATAAATTTTAACATAATTACTTTTTAAACACTGCTTTTAAATTTATAAGATTTAGTTCTACAAGCATCTATTATCCTTGTCAATGTGCCCTAAATTTCTACAGGCTGTCCCCTCTGTCAACTTAATTCTGATTAAGTTTCTGATTTCCTATAAGGTACTTTTTGTTCTCTAGTCAACTCTATATTTCTTGTTAAAATTTGTGATTCTATAAATTATCATAATCTAGAATTATTGAGAATGTTGACTCAATATAAATGTGGTTCAAAGTCAATCTCCACCCAGAACTTGTAACATTAATACAAAGTGCATGTTGAGGTGAGTGAGATTTTTACTTAATGGTATTTGACTGAGAATATTGGAAGAGGACAAGATGCCCTAAAGAATAAGTAGTAAGTGCATTATTCTTTCTGATGATATGTTTATCTTTCCTCTTGTACAAGATTAATGCTGCTTTGCGAGAAGGTGTTGATGCACTAAAGCTTCTTTTATCCAAAGGCTTGGCAGAGAGTGCAAGAAGTTTTAACCCCCAACAGAAGTACAAGCATTTAAGATTGCAAACAATGCCAACATAACACTGGATGATGGGATTTTTCCCTAGCCTTTTGGGTTGAGGTAGCTTTTGTAGACTATGATATGTGTGTACCTGTTGTTTATTTCAGTCAATAAAAGAGAAAGTTTAAAGGCAACTTTGGAGAGTTATCAATAAGATCATTACACAAACAGATGTAGCTGGAGATGTTTTTCAAACTGATTGACCCACATTCTGATATGTTTTGCCATTCATGCAGAAATTCTTGGATTTTGACTTCCAAACAAGTGCAAGGCTTCATGCTGCATCAATGAATGCCTTGAATAGCCTGTTCTGTTTTCCAAAGATTTTAGTGCCAAAGAATCAAATATGTTGTCGACGATCTAAGTAGCTTAACAATAATTTCATTTTAGTGAAAATAAGAAGTTTTGAGTTTGAGTTTGAAATCATCTGGCCCTAGTTAAACATTTCTTCTTGCATTCTTGTGTGCTCATTCATGCTGGAATGTCTGTTATCCTGCATAAATTGATTGTTTTTTCTTCAATCAGAAATGACTGTCTTGTTATATCTGTGTCTGGAATCTGTCGACATGAATTAAATTTTGAATAATAGCTGTTAATGTCTGATCGCAACTGGTTTTTGCCTATACAATGTGTATATCTCACATACCATGTGCTGGAAGCAAAAAATAAAATAAAATAAAACCATGTTCTGGCACATTCAAAGGGGCAAAAATTCATTGCTAGCCCTCCACCTTAGTGACGATGAAACCCTTAGCCTCCTACCGTACAACCTAAAGATTTCAGCCCCCTTCTTTTTTGATTTTAAATAAAGAAACCTAAAATGGATAGCTAAGAGTAATGTGCGTCGTATGCTTGTTAGGATTTCATTACTTTTGGCCATGTCAATGCCACAATGTATAATTCCTTGCCATCTTGAACTATCAAAGTGGGCAATAAAATTGAAAAATCTCTTGCTCACTTTAAAGTGATTAAAGATATTTTAATTTCAAATAATTGTAGCTCGCTTTAAAATAAGCTAAATATTTTATATTTTTATTGTCTGTTTTGGTAGTTCAAGATGACAAGAAATTGTACATTGTGGCATCGATATAGCAAAAGGTGATGGAATCCTAACACGCATGTGACACATTATCCTTGGTTGTCCATTTTAGGCTTCTTTTAAACCGAAAGGATGGAGGCTAAAATCCTCAAGTTGTAAGGCGAGAGGCTGAATGTTTCATATTCGATAAGGTAAGGGGCTGGCCATGGATTTTCGCCCATTCAAGGGATATTCTTCCAAAGCAAAAGGATGACTTCATGGCCACTAGGGATGTCAACGGAACCCCGTGGGGTCGGGGAGTCCCTCCCCGTCCCCGTGAATGGCGGGAATGGGGATCCCCGCGAGAATTTTTGACGGGGGGCAAATTTTGCCGCCCATCCCCATTTTTCACGGGGAACGGGGATCCTCACGGGGATTCCCATTCCCTGCCAATTAATACCAAAATATATATTTTTTACATCAAACATAAATAAAAATTAATTTAACATAAATAATTAAATCAAAAAAAAGAGAAAATTGAAGGTGAGACCATGAGAGTGAGTGAGGAGAAATTGTAGAAGCAAGAAGGGGAGGGAAAGGTCGAAGGTAAGGTGAGAGTTTGATTGTTCGACTGATACCGAGAGTGAGTGAGGGGTTGAAATGAGGGTTGTAGCTGCACTGCTGCGTGAGTGAGGAGAAAGGGACATAATAAGGTTAGGAAATTAGGGTTGGGAGGATGATGGGTTGGGTTGGGTATTTGGGTTGGGTAAAATTTAATTTTTATTGAATTGGGTTTGGGTTGGGTTTAAGTTTTATTTTAAAGGTTAAATTAAATTTAAAATATACATTTTTTTTAATTTTTCGCCGGGATGGGGATCCCCGAGGGACCCTGCGAGGTCGAAAAAATTCCCCGTGAAATTTTGCGGAGAGAAAATTACTCCCATCCCTACCCCACGGGGAGGAATATTCCTCCCCGCCCCGTCCCCATAACAGGGATCCCTACGGAGCCCCATGGGGATCGGGGGAAATTGCTACCCCTAATGGCCACCGTGCGATCCCATGGCAAAAACCTGGTTTTAGTCCTTCATTTTATTAAGTTTAAATGTTTTAATCTCTTATCTTATATTATGACATTTTTAACTCCTTATCTTATTAGATTTATAAGTTTTAACCCTTTACCTATTAAAATCAAAGAAAATAGCTCTCACTTTAAATTGCTTGTTAATTCTGTTAGTTAAGTTTTTATCAATTAACAGTCAATTAATAATTAATTAATAAAATTAACAAAATATTATAAAGTTAATTTTGTTAATTATGTTGTTGAAAGAAGGTTTTTGTTAGTTAATAATCAACTAATAATCAAATAATATAATCAACAATCAGTTAATAAAACTAACAAAATGTTATAAAGTGAGGATTATTTTTTTTAATTTTAATAAGTGAGGGGTTAAAAATGTTATAATATAAGATAAGAAATTAAAATTTATAAATTTAATAAAATAAAAAATTAAAAATATTATAATATAACATAAAGGACTAAAACTTTTAAATTTAATAAGGTGAGGGATTAAAACTAAACTTTTGCCGCGATTCCCATTGTGAACCAGATGTCATTTCTGTAGCCGTAAAGCACTACTAGATTCCAGCTCGCTGTCACAGATGCAGACACTAAGGATGGCCTAACACAAAGCAACTAATTTGCACTTTTCGCAGTAATTTTGGGTGAAATATTATTGGAATTTGACTACGTAATTACAGTATTAAATTTATTTGTTTAAATTAAAAAATAATAATTAATTTAACACAAAAGTGTTGAATTTTGATAAAAGTTCTGAATTTTGATGCTGTAGAGTGTGAAACGGATAAAAACCGAAATTATTCAGATACCTTGGGGCATGCTTGGTAGATGTCAAAGGTAAGTTTGTTTTTGTTTTATTTTTTTTACTTTGAGCTGCAAAATAAAAAGTAGTTTTTTCATATTTTAAAAAA